TTTGTTAAATGTGTTTTACTTGTTTTAATAAATTATATGTTAAAATATTAACATAGATTGAATTATTTAAATTTTATAAAATTAAAATTGATCCAAATAAAATAATTTTTGTTTTTATGTTAATTCAAATGAATATATATATATATATATATATATATATATATATATATATATATATATATATATATATATATATATATATAAATTATACTAATAAAAACAATGATTAAATTCTATTTTTAAACATAATTTAAACAGGATTTTCAAATTTTAATAATGGAAATTTAAATTCATTTGAATAAAGGTTTAAATAAAATTTATTAAATATTTTAAGTTTAGTTAATCAGATTTCATATTTATATTTAACCTGATTTCATTTTAATATAATTTAAAGTTAATTGAATTTCGTTTTAGAATAATTTGATATTTTAATATATTTTAAATTATATTAACATGATTTCAAAATTAGAATTGACATATTTATTGGAATTTTGCTTTAAATTAGATCAATTATTTGAAGAATACATGATGAATTCAGTTATAATAAATAAAAATAGTAAAATTTGATACATTATTCCTACAATTTTTAATGATAAAATTTATATTATTAATATTATTATATTATAAGTTATAATATCATTACCAATATTATGTTAATTATAATATCATTAATACTATTAATAATAAATTATTTATGAATTAAAACATGTAAATATATAATTTTTTATTACCGAATTTTGAAATTAAGTAGGAGTGTTCATCAGTTTTGAAATCCAAAAAAAAAATATACACCAAATTTTGAAATTCGAGGAAAATAAATACTGATTTCAAAATCCAAAAATAATAAATATCATATTTCAAAATCTGAAATCAATAAATATTGGATTTCAAAATTATGTAAGTTTTTTAATCAAATTTCAAAATCCAATAATTTTTAAAACTAGATTTTAAAATTGAGTAATTTTTTAATATGAATTTCAAAATGATAAGTTTAACGGAATTTCAAATTTTAATATATGTGAAAAGAGACTAAAGAAATAAAAAAAACACATGAAGACTTAAAGGATACATGATTAAATAAATATAAAAAATACAATAAATACGCTTTGGTAATGAACAATTATTGCTTATCTATTTTTATTTTATTTTATATAATTTTTTTTACTGATAAAAGAAACTGTAAACTTAATGCTGGGAGAAACATTAGAGGTGGAGGGAAAAACCGCCTTTCAGTATATATTTTGTAATTTCTAACAGATTTTTTTTATTATTCGGAACAATACCTTTTAAAGTATTATGAAATATTAAATATACATTATTGTGCATGTTAAAACAGTTAAAATCATGTGCATGTTAGAAGTAAAAATTCTGTACTTAATCTACAAGCAAACAGATAAGTGAATTATAGAATGCATGTTTCACTAGTATCTTTTCTACAATGATAGAAAAGCAATACAAATATTCTTATTTGATGCTATCAATAAAAATTCATTTTAATTTTTTTTTTCATTTTGACGTCAAAGGTAATAATAATCAAAATATAAAAAAAGAAAAAAAAGAAAGGAATCTAGAATTTCAGAGAATATTCTTGTAAAGGATGTTTCCTAGGCGTTGGCAGTGAGTTTCTTTTGTCAAAATTTAAGGAAAACCTTCGAACCCAAGTTAAGGCTGTCGGCGTTGGAAAAGAAGATCAAAGCATTATCCTAACATTATAAAATTACGTTTCACTTGACTATTTGACTATTCTTCATGCTGCAACATCTTATAAATCTTATAACATGGATTAGTGTCGTGTTTTTTTAAATTTCTTTTAGTGACCTTACTATATTTTATTAATTAATAAATAAAAAGAGTCGCAAAATGAATTATATTTGGTCCACCAACTAACAAAACCAGAAAACGATTGTGATAGGAAGTTAAACTAACTACCATGTGGCTCTCTCTCCACCTTACAGCACCACCCCGTTTACACACGCAAAGGATTTCATGGATCCCACAAAAATATACAGAGTTCCCAACAATACCCTCATTTAATGCCACGTGTCCAATGATAGTCCATGTGGCAGTCGGTGGTGATGATATCCACTGTTTGGGCGGTGGCAGTTAAGCTCTTAACGGATATTCTATCTTTACTCTCTTTTTCTCCTTTATGCATGCCCATATCTTTCTTTCATCATGTCACCTCAGTTTAACTTTTTCCAAATTTTTTGGATGTCGGTTTTTTCTTTTCAATTTTTCTCCTCTTGCATGTGTCCATTTCAACGCTATTACTCCATATTTTCCTCAGAAAATAACTATTATGACAAAAAAAAAACAAATATTTCAATGTGTTTTCTTTACTAGAAATTGAAGATTCTCTCATGTTCCTAAACTATAATAATTTTGATTCAGGTCGTTTTATTAATTTCTACTGAGATATACTATATTGTAAAAAAAATCAACTATGATTTGCTTGTAATAATGACATAAGAGTCAGCTTGTAAATTGTGGACTACATTAATGTCAAGATTCTATTGATCAGCTAATAAAGCACCCATTTTACTATCATTATTTTCCTATATTATCCATTTTTATCAAGGATTTATCATAATTACACCTAACAGTAATTAATAACACCAATAATTCATCCTGAAAGTGTGCTAGAATACTCTAATGTTATAAAAGTACACTAAATGGATAATGTGAATTGATTGATAATTTCTTTAATTGATTAACTGGATAAAAGACCATTTCTAACCGCGTGATCAGTGGAATAATAAATTAATTAATCAATGAAAGATATCACTGTGAGATTCCAGAACGATCTCCTAACCGTTGGATTAATGACGTAGTTAATGACTATAGTACCCTTCGGAGATCTATATAAAGAATTGTGCAACTCCCGATCAACACAGCAACAAACCAAGATCTTCTTTGCAACTTTGCAGTGTCCTGTCTAAAAATATCCTTCAAGCAAGTAAAACTACTCACTGAGACCATGGCCCCTGTCATGACCACCGTGGAAGCCAATCTCACCAAAGCAGAAGCTAAATCCGTCGGAGGTGTTGACCGTGCCTACGTGACCTTCCTTGCCGGAAACGGTGACTATGTAAAAGGTGTGGTTGGGTTGGCGAAAGGTCTGAGAAAGGTGAAGAGCATGTACCCTCTGGTGGTAGCAATGCTACCGGATGTTCCCGAAGAGCATCGCAACATTCTCATCAACCAAGGCTGCATTGTTAGAGAGATTGAGCCCGTGTACCCTCCAGAAAACCAAACCCAGTTTGCCATGGCATATTATGTCATCAACTACTCCAAGCTAAGAATTTGGGAGGTAAACACACAACTATAATTCATCTTTTAATTTTTGTTCTTTTTTCCATTTTCTTATAGTATTAATGTGTTTTTTTTTTCTGCCAAATGTTCCAGTTTGTGGAATACTCGAAGATGATTTACCTAGATGGTGATATCCAAGTGTTTGACAACATCGACCACTTGTTCGACTTGGCTGACAACTACTTCTATGCGGTGAAGGACTGTTTCTGTGAAGCCACCTGGGCCCACACTCCGCAGTATGGGATTGGGTACTGCCAGCAGTGCCCCGACAAGGTTCAGTGGCCCACCAACCTTGGGCCTAAGCCTCCTCTCTATTTCAACGCTGGGATGTTTGTTTACCAGCCCAATCTGGCTACCTACAAGGACCTTCTTCAAAAAGTTCAAGTCACCAAGCCCACTTCCTTTGCTGAACAAGTACTAATTGCTGATACAACAAACATGTTAGTATGAAATTAGCTTATGACAGAAACTTATGATTTTGTTTATTGTGTTGCAGGATTTTCTGAACATGTACTTCAAGGATAAGTATAAGCCAATTTCCAATATGTACAATCTTGTGCTGGCCATGTTATGGCGTCACCCTGAGAATGTTGAGCTTTAAAAAGTTAAAGTGGTTCACTACTGTGCTGCGGTGAGTGTTGAATTCTGAATGAAATGAAAATGGAATGTAGAATAGTGATATAATATTTATTTATTTTGGTTGCATTGGTGTGACAGGGATCAAAACCTTGGAGGTACAGTGGAAAAGAGGAGAATATGCAGAGAGAAGATATAAAGATGTTAGTGAAGAAGTGGTGGGATATATATGAGGATGAGACTTTGGATTATAACTATTCACTCAATGCAGAAAGGTTCACTGAGGCGCTTTTAGAGGGTGGCGAACTCAATTACGTTCCTGCTCCATCTGCTGCTTAAAGTGTTTTTGCTTCCATATACTATATTTAAGACTTGTAGATCATTAAGTTTTATGGATTTGTAGTTGAGAGGACCCTTTTTTTGTGTCCTTTTTCATATATTTTTTTTTCAACTATTATAACCAGATTGGTGTGATAGGATTTTACATTACATGATTCACATACTTTTCTTTGTATACACTACTTATTCCGTTGGTGTGTGAAAAAAGAAAATTCCGATTCAATTTTACTACTGAATAATAATTAATCCTTGAATTTTATTACATAAGTTGAAACATTCTTTGAAAAATATGATCTAATATTATATTAGTTTTAAAACCTCGTAATTTAATGATAAAATTATTCTATAAACATATCAATAAGATGTAATTGTGTGTAACTATAAAAATTTTTAGAAGTAGGAGTGCTCTATAACTATACAATCATCATAGAACATATAATAAGATATAATTCTTTATTTTCTTTTAAAGGAACAATATTTTTCTTAAAGAATGCCTCTGTGCTGTCAGAAAATGTATAAAATAATGAAAAGATTAATAAATCCTGAAAACATCAAATAAAATTGTAAATCTCAATCACTTATTATCAAGTTAGGTATTGAATATACATTAACATAATTCCTCAAATAATATTTTTCAAGTTTTGATTAATATAACTGTCAAAGTATTTTTAAATTTTAAAAAAAATAAATTATTTAAGAATTAATCTTATAGTGTTTTGACAAAGGTTACTAAAAAGAAGCTAAGTAGATCCACCGTTTTCATTAAAAGACAATATATGAGTTTTCAGAGTTTTCCATTTTTGATGGTCCTTTGGGTTGGTGGCGGAGGCCAACGCGAGTGTCTGAGAAGAAGCCACGCAACTCCTTTTCCTTTCCCTCAAAGCCACCAAACCCCACTTCATGAATCAATTTATTCGCCAATCAAAAGCTCACAAGAATAAGCAGAAGCAGAGACACTCAGATACGTTTCGCTGTTAAAAGTTCAAATCAAAATGGCCGGTGATGGGACCCATTCAGATTCAAAAGCTGCAACAATTGTCATTAAAGATCTCAAATTTACATACCCCGGCATCGACGGCCACGCGCCGCCGGGTTCCTCACCGCTTATTCAAAACTTCTCTCTCACTCTCGGTTCCGGCGACCGCTGCCTTCTCGTCGGTTCCAACGGCGCCGGTACTCTCTCTCTCTCTTTGAATCTTGGAATATGCGATTGGCCCTTTTTTTGTATTCAATTGTAAGTTTATTGGTTTTGCGATTTATAGGGAAAACCACGATCCTGAAGATACTAGGAGGGAAGCACTTGGTGGAACCTGACATGGTTCGCGTGCTTGGAAGATCAGCTTTTCACGACACCACTTTGGTGTCTTCTGGTGATCTCTGTTATCTCGGTGGCGAGGTTCGTTCCTGTTTTCATTTTACTTTTACCTTTCAACTCTACTGCTTCTGTTTATGTAACTAATAACTAATGTTCATTTTGGTTATTACAAACTAGTTATATGCCCAACTCCCCAGTTAAACTTTAGGACTGTCGGAAATTGGTATTGCGATCTGCATTTTTATTTTATTTCTTGTGTCTCTGGAACTTTTTTAATTGTTTGAAATTGATTCCATCAGTGGAGGCGAGATGTTGCTTTTGCGGGTTTTGATGTGCCAATACAGATGGACGTTTCTGCTGAAAAAATGATATTTGGTGTGGCTGGGATTGATCCTCAAAGAAGTGCGGAGCTCATCAAGGTTGGATGAATCTTTTCCTATTATTTCCTCCTTTTTCCATTGCTTTATTTATTGATTATGTTTTAACTATTTGTTCATTTCTGCATGTGGTTTCTATTAACTTATGTCGTTCATGTTGATAAAATATAAGTAACTCATCGTGGTGGAAAACATAAGAACCTAAATGTGTTCTATATGGTACCTGATTCTATATCCATCAATTTAATATTTGATTCCATGAAGACTGAGCTTGGTACTTGACTAGGGTCTGTTTATTGATAAACTAAGATTAGCTTATACTTAGTTAATCTTTAGAAATTCTTCCATACTAGTTTTTCCAAAAGATGATTTTTTATTGCATTAGCTAATTTAAGCTTATGGATAAACTTTCATTTTTCTCTTCTTTTAGTGTTTATGCAGATATTTATCGGAATATGTCTAAAACCAAGTTGTTACTTTCTCTTCATGTTCATGTTTTTTGTTATATATAGTTTTACTGTTCAACTGGGTAGGTATTGGACATTGATCTTTCCTGGAGATTGCATAAAGTATCTGACGGTCAAAGAAGAAGAGTACAGATTTGTATGGGTCTTCTCAAACCGTTCAAGGTATGTTAATCTTGTGCTTGATCTGTCAAAAAGTCAGTTTAGCCTCATTACACATATTTACAAGCTTGTTCCTTGTTTATATAGGTTCTTCTTCTTGATGAGATAACTGTTGACCTTGATGTTCTAGCAAGAGCTGACCTTCTTAGATTTCTAAGAAAGGAATGTGAAGAGAGGGGTGCCACCATTATCTATGCAACACATATATTTGACGGTCTTGAGGATTGGCCTACACATATTGTACGTTTGGGCTATTTCTGAACTCTTTTTGTGTCAGTTTTAGCATAAGCTCTACACCATTCTTAATGTTCTTTTTATCAGGTGTATGTAGCCCATGGAAAGCTGCAACTAGCAATGCCTATGGACAAAGTCAAAGAAATTAGCAAATTGTCACTAATGGTTAGTGTTCTTGTACATAATCTTAAGACTTGAATGAGTTATTGATCGATTATTTATTTGTTGCCCGTAGTGCGAGCCTATGCCAAAGAAAATAACAATTCGGCCATTATAAAACTTGTCAAGACCCCAAACATGGATAACTCAACATGTTATTGATATGTGTGCTACTGTTAGATTGTAACGCGAAGTAATGTGCTGTGTGTCTTGAGTATATGCAAAAGTAATTGGTGTTGAATATGCAGAGAACAGTAGAAAGTTGGCTGCGGAAGGAACGAGATGAAGATAGAAGGAAAAGAAAAGAAAGAAAAGCAGCTGGGCTTCCTGAATTTGGAAAGAAAATTGAGGGAAGCCGTGTAACAGGGGATCCTGCACGTGCTGCAATTCGAGCAACTAATAATGGGTGGGCAGCAGGACGATTAAATTCCACCGTTGCTGGTGAGGAAAACTTCATCCTCAGCTCTAATCGAGTACTGAGGCAGTAGATAAATTTCAAATGCAATCAACTTCTGAACAAAATTTCTTCTTCAGTGCCTTATGGCATATATGATGAGTTGTTGTTATATAGGAAGCATAACATGTGAGGTAATAATATATATGTCTAATGTGGCCTTAGTATTTGCAAAATTGTGCTCGATATATGAGAATAAAGAAAATAGCCTCGTGAAATTCTCGTTACCATTAATTTCCTGTTCTTTTCATTAAGTTGGAGTCTTTGACTGTAAATCCAAATATCAGAGAATTCCACTTCCACGAAAAATAAGCTTTTACAAACAAAGAATATGTAATTCTCCACATACCTTGTTTATAAAAGATAACAAAGAAGGAAACGCTTTATTTATCCTACGAATTAAAATACGCTAGCAATATAACGTTGCACTTTAAATCGTATATCCGTTCCCCATGTCTTCAATTGAATCTTGTGATGTCTGTGAAAGACATATGGGGTTCCCAATTTCTACGTAACATAGACTTTGCTATGCATTGCAACTGAACCACTACGCAAAGAGTATCAAGGTGAGTCAACCACACTCATCATCCTAGGAGCTAAATATAATGACTAACACAATTTATTTTTTGAGTAAAATATTCTATAAATAAGTTTCACTCTTCACATATTAATAAATTAGTAAACTAATTTACTAAATAATATTTTACATTTTAATTTATTTTATATATTTATTATAATACAATTAAAATAAATTAATTTAACTCATTATTTTATAAAAATATAAACAAAATATTCATCTATTTTAATAAACATTATTACGAAGACAATAGTTAATAGTTAAAAATTAAAGTATCAATCACTTAACAGATAAATAAATTAAATATTCAAATTATTTAAATATTGTTATACAATGTTCTAATATTTAAAAATATCAAATTATTAATCTACATAATTAGAAATAATAAATAATTATTATAAAAAATCATAAAAAATTAATGAAAAATTATTGTTTAACAGTCAACTAAGTCAATCCACCTTCACTCAACTTGAATCCATTTAATCTCCTAGTTAAGTGAATTATGTCTAATTAGATTCACAATCAAAAATCCTAAATTTTTTCCGGTTCAAATTCGTAGTGAGCAAAATATTAACTATTAGAACCTATTTTTCCAACCCTAGGCTCATGACTCAAGTAATTTAATTTCTTTTGAAAAAAAGAAAAACAGTACCACTATTGAAAAGTACCAACGTTACTGCATAATCAAAATCATATAACGAGTATAACCAGTACATTGTACCTCGGAACAACTAGCAGTCGCGGCTTAAAATGGGTGAGATTATTGACTCATGCAGAATTCTAAGAAAAGCATGATCACTGCATGTATAGTTTGTAATTCATTAATATTATTAATTGTTTAGAAATTCTACAGGAACAAATAAGATTGCTATGATAATATAGTATCAAAAACCTAAATAAAGACAAAAAGAACTTAATAAGTAGTTGAAAAAGACTTTAAACATCAACCGATCAACTTCAAAATATAATCGTAAAGCCGAGCAAGATAGCAGCGTTCCCCAAAAATGTCCCTAAGCCTGATCCAGAAAAGTAAACAGAAATCAACTACAGTTATACAGCTCAAGCATCGAACGCAAGAGATGAAGAATCTAATCCTACCTTGTTAGCTATATTGTTGGAGAGCCAGTCCAGACCTTCATAGAGCCCTTCTCCAGAGGTGGCACATGTGCTCTGGATATACCTGTGATGAACAAGAAAAACAAAACACCCAACACCAAAATCCAATTATCATAAGTAATCGATAAAGATGGCAGCATGCGGCATACATAACAGAGATGCATTTGAATACCAGTGGCGTTGACGAAGAGAATGAAGACCAAGCTTGTCTGTGATTTCTGCAGCATTCATAGCATTTGGAAGATCTTGTTTGTTGGCAAATACAAGGAGAACTGCATCTCTCAACTCATCCTATCAATTAACCAAGTAGACAACTAAATTTTCTACCACAATGTAAATCTTAAATGCAGCAGTTTCACTATCAACACTCGGTCAATCGAGAAAGGCTAAAACCAGAAGATTATCAATAAAAAGAGTATAACTAATGCCATCATGTATGTAGTTGACAGAATAAGAGAAGTATCAAAATTAAAATCCAATATTATTTAAAACAACTGAACATGCAAGACATTTCAATCACGGTGATGCCGTCCATATTAATTTACACTCATCTTGCTCTTACTTTAATCCATTTACCTCATAACTAAGGCCATGTATGTAGTTGACAGAGTAAGAGAAGTATAAAAATTAAAGTCCAAAATTATTTAAAACAACTGAAAATGCAAGACATTTCGATCACGGTGATGCCGTCCATATTAATTTACACTCATCTTGCTCTTATTTTAATCCATTTACCTCATTCAGCATCCGGTGGAGCTCATCTCTAGCTTCAACAACACGGTCACGATCATTGCTGTCCACAACAAAGATAAGTCCCTGAGTGTTTTGGAAGTAGTGTCTCCATAAAGGACGAATCTGTGAGAGCACCGCACAAAAGACCATTAATGTTAACATGCAAGGATCAAGATGAAGGCAAGAAAAATTTAGAAGCTAACCTAAAAGACCTTGTATCGTATGTACTGTAATAACGGTGCAAAAGCCATAGAAACCATCCAAAACATTTTCAAAAGTAAACAGGAACACGGTAGAAATTTTGCTACCACACGCGAGTACAAAAATTTTAGTCAATCTAAAGCACATAATAGAATATATATTTGGTAAATACTTTCAAAGCAAGAAAAATGGACAAATGAAGAACGTTCTTAACAAAAATGCATAGAAAAGTACTGGGAAGATAGACTACTCGACACAGACTGTCTATAGGTAAATGCAACTCTTCAATGAACACCAATATATATGTTTGACATCTAAACTGTAAGTCACAATGTGTTCAGGAAAAACTTGTAAACATCGATGGCTCAATACTAGTTTATGTTTGTGTTGTGTGTTAATGAGAGAAACTCCGCTAGGCACAGGACCATCAATAAGCATATTTTCATCAAAACCTATAAATTTCAAGCAGCAAATCTAGAATAAATTGTGAAAGATAGCATATGTCTACAAATAAGGAAACATAAAGCCTTGTATATGTTCATTGGCAGTGGTGGAGCATCTTTAGGGAGAGGGGTGGCAGTTGCGCCCTAATTTTTTTTATCTTTCTTGTATTGGTTATAAATCTTCTATCACAATCAAAGCTCGAAGCTTTTTCACCACAACTACATAGAAGCCTTCATTAAGCTCCTGTCCCCATCAAACTTTTGGGTGATTTTCTGAAATGCTCCATCACTGTTTACATGAATTCTATTTAATTATTTTTAAGAGGTAAGTCACAGCACAACGCTATAATTTTCCCTAATATGGTTCAAATAAAACTTGTAACGAGATTTATGTAGTTTACGTTGATCGTCAAAAAGTATGTTTAACAAAGAAAGAAGTAGTTACTGCCACATGTTCACATCTGTTGTCTAAGGTTCAGAGTGCTTTATCAACAAAGAAAAGGAACAGGATAAAAATAATAAACGATTCCTCCAAAACCTTAACAGATCTTAATACAAATATGCAAGCAACGGACCTTGTCTTGGCCACCCACATCCCATACAGTAAAGCTAATATTTTTATACTCCACAGTCTCCACATTAAATCCTGTATAACAACAAACATCAGCATCAATTGGCAATTCCTTTTTCAACAAACAAAAGATGTACACAAGAGAAGTTGGATGGTAAGTTTGGATCAGATCATAAAAGCACTAGAACTTCTAAAACTAAGGAGAATCGCAACATAAGCAAAAACTGAAGCATGTAAAAGACAAATTCAGGAGAATACCAATTGTGGGAATGGTTGTCACAATCTCTCCCAGCTTGAGCTTGTACAATATGGTTGTCTTACCAGCAGCGTCGAGACCTACCATGAGAATACGCATCTCTTTCTTTGCAAAGAGCCGGCTAAAAAGCTTGGTGAAAGACAACCCCATCTTGCTTCAACTGGATGCAGATATTCATGGGAAGGTACATGTCAACAAAATCAGATAGTCGCAGTCAAAACTCATATTTTAAGAATCAATGTACATGAGAACCATTAACCTTAATTTTCCAAATTCAGACAGAAATACGAAAAAAAAAATACTACACGCAAGTGATATCCCATCAATTTTTGAAAACTGGAGAGGTGGTGTCAAGTGTTAATTTATTTCGCGAAATCTATCAAAAAATTAGAATAACATAATTCGGTGCAAGGTAAGATGAACAGTCTGTTAAACACAAATACGAAAGAAAGTTTTGAAATGAAATTATTCGATTTCTTCATCGAACATCATAAGACAGGAAATGTGAAAGCCAAGATCTCCGTAATTGAGAAAAACCTGCTTGATTTTATAATTGAAAATGAGAAACTTTTTTACTTGCAACAGATCTGCTATCATAACACGTAACGAGATGGCAAGGATTTCAATCCAGAACTTGAACAAAAGGTAATCAGATCTAGAGCAAGCGAGAGGCAAAAATGAATCAATCACAGTCCAAAAGAGAAGAATCTTACAGAGAGATGACTTTGTAGAAGAAGAAGAGGCAGATAATTGAGACGATTAGAGAAATGGAGAGGGTAGATCCAAGAAGAAGCTCCCTCCAAATCGAATCCAGACGGTGGTGGTGAAGGGAACGATGCTTCTTACGTTTAATATTATTGAGTTATTTTAGTACCAAAAATTATTATTTAATATAATAAAAGAGAAATACTATTCTATATTTAATACCCTAGTTAATTATGCATGGTCGTATACGATTAGATTCTAGTACATTTTAATTAAATTTATTTCATGTAAATATAAATCTTAAAATTCATTCATCAAACGATATATGTCAACAAAATATTTATAATGTGTTCGTAATAGAGTATTTAAAAGAAAATTTATGTATATAAAATATTTTAAAACAAGCTTATATTAATATAAAGTATTTAAATGTTTTATGATAAAATATTCTATTTAGATTAGAAATAAAAAAATGTTAAATTCATGAGATTGATTAAAGTAATTTGATTATTTAATACCATAGAATTAAAAAACTTTTTATTGTCTCTTGATTGACTTTCTTTTATAATACAATTGTCCTCTTTTATTACTGCTATCGTTGTGTGAACCTAAAAATTGATACCATTTGTGTGAACGAGAATAAAAGAATCAATATTTAAAGACATGACTACAAAGTTTTATGTTAAAAACGACTTCAGACTAAAAGAATGAAGTTGGTAGTTATTTACATAGAACAAATTGTAATAATGTGATAGCTATAAAGTTTATTGGTAGAGTTTTTGTTTTCATTCATAGTCCAAATCTTTTATATTAACATTTATAGCTATAAGTTTCTCGATATGATTAACTTTTAGGTTAAATATGATTTTTACCTCAAGCTATTTAAAAAGAAAAAGTATATTATATATGTCCTATAAACTAAACTAATATATATTTCTGTATTTTATGTAAAATGATGTAAACCGACATTAGGAGGAGACCGGTTCCTTATATAACAAACAAAATTTATAATACAATCTTTATGTGTTGTTTATTGAAAAAATATTTCACGTTATTTTTATAAAGTGTAAGATGAAATATATATATATATATATATATATATATATATATATATATATATATATATATATAATAACTTTGATTTCAGGTTATGATTCTTGCTTGTTTTAAGAAAAATTCTAATGAAGGGAAATTTTGAAGTAAGGATGCCGTTTATTAATAAAAGCAAAAAGAATTATGAATGAGCACGAGGAAACTAATAATGATAGACGAGGAGCGATAGGAATAGAAGAAAGTTTATATGGAATTCTTCTACTTTAAAACTCATATGATCTATAGTAACTTGTACAATCATCTTTCCTAAATGTGAAAGAGACCTTCGACCTTGTTGTTAGATAAAGGTAATAAATTGAAATGTGTAGGAGCAATTTTCGATCTAGACTTTCAAATGCGACATTTCAAACTGCACTATAATATAGAAACGTCTTTGTCTTCATGCACCTAATCTGCGTCGAATCCTCTGCCTGTCACCTTCCCTTTCCTTTTATCATCTTCTTCATGATGCTTTCCGTTACCGTTGAAAGGATTATAGGGTTCCAATTCCAGGTCTTTCACATCATCCTCCATTGCCTCCGTTATCTCATCAACACCGTCATTCTCATCCACATCTTTGTTTTTTCCCAACAACACAAAATACAGCCCAAACACTATCACCAGAGACCCTATCGCACTGAACATGACCAAAAACCTTTGATTAGGAACAAAGAAATCAAATTGAAGAACCCAAAATGTTCAATTTTTATTGAGTTTTATTGAAGTCCATGAATTTCGTACGTGCCAATGTATATTTTTTCGTGCAGTAGTGCCCAGCTAACAACAGCAATGATGACAAGCTGCAAAGGGGAGAACACAGACGCATAGAGAGGACCTTTCTTCTCGATAGACCACGAGAGGAGCGAATAGGTTAGCCCAGTTGAAATAATTCCCTTGAAACCGACATTGTAAAATGCAATAATTAGCGAAATGAATAACCCAATTCATCATAGAAAATGGAAACTATATAATATATATACCGCATAAAGTGCAGAGGTAAGTCTTATTGTACTGTACAGTGACCAAGCTGAGGCCTCGTGTTCGACAGACAAGGCAATGACCAAACACTGAATGCTTGCCATCAAACACATGTAGAAACTGCTGGTAAAAGGAACTGGGTAGCTCCTGCTTATGTTTGCCTGAACAAACAAACAAAACAAGTGTATGTGTATGTACTTAATTTAGGAGCTTTTTTTAAGATGTAGTGTTTGTTTAGTTTAACGTAACTTAGTTTATATGATCCTTACTTGAATTATGAACCATACTGCCCAAAGAAGAGCGCTACAAATTACAGTAACAGGACCCAGAAGCAAGTTTGTTTCACCGCGAGAGGAGGCTCCTCCTTCCATTTTCTCAGCATATTTCCATTGAATTTTTGATTCACCTAGACCAAGGAGTTTTCCATGGTAAAATGATAGAACCACTGCTCCACCCACACTAAGGATTGTCCCAAACACCTTCGCTACCCCAGCCTTTGTCTTGATCCTCAAACACTCTTGTCTGCTCATAAAAACATAATCTTAATCAATTACAACATGAATTTGTGCACTTCAAAGAAAATATTGGGGTGGTTGCTTCTGTTTGTTTGCTTGCTTGCATGATAGTTACCCGAAGAGAACTGCAAGAACGAAAGTGAATGCTGGGAGCAAGTTGTTTAGTGCACATGCAATTGTAGGGGTTGAATATTTAAGACCCAAGAAATATAGTATCTGATTTCCTGTAATTCTGCATTCGAGGTCAAACTAATAATTACTAAACAATTAGAATGGGTGAAACACTAAATCAGTAAACAAAATAAGAGATTTTGTATCGATTAGAAATACAATGATGGTTGTAACTTGTACGTTATATAGCATAAGAAGAAAGTGCAAGTTGAAGACGTTAAAAGGTAGCAGCAACAGACCAGATTAAACTTACCCTGTTAAGGAAGCTAATAATATCTGGAACGCAATTCGCTTTGTCATTGGGGGAGCCGTATTCCTATTGAAAGCAAACAAAAATAATAGGTGTTAATGTGAAAGTAAAAGTGTTTAAGGGAGGTAATTAGTGTATGATATAATGTGTATTACCGTTCAAAGCAATAAGCAAAAGGAGCTAAGGAGAAAGTGGCAAAAATTTGACGATAAGCAACAAGGACAAGAGGGTGCATGCCAGATTGTATTGCAAGCTTTGAGGAAATATTCATTCCTGCATAACTCAATTGTACAACAATCATGGCCAAGAGTGGAATAACGCTACCACCCATTCTCTCTTCAAAGGTTCTTCTTGGGAATTTGGCCAGAGTTTTTTCAAAGGATGAGAAATGAAATGTTCCAGAGTATGAGATATACATGTCTCTCTATTCAAATATATACACAAGAAACACCAACAAGTATAGGATATCGTGGATAGCATTAGCGTAAGTGTGGAGTTTCTGTAATATAAAAGGAGAATAATATGTTAACACAGATTTTTTTTATAACATTTTCAATAACAAATAAATAATAAACTAGTAAGAAAATAATGTGTGTTGTATTAAAATATTGTAAAAAAAATCGTGTTAAAATATATTTTTTCAATATAAAAAGTGAAATAAGAAAGTAAACACTGCCAAATTACTTACGCAAACTAACGTTCTTAACAAACTGTAATACGGTAAGCAAATGCATGGCTTGTGAAATCGAATTGTAGCTATATCAACTTCTTATCTATTTCAAGTATATGCGAAATATTACTTTTACAACTTTTATTTTAACACGTGCAATCTTTCTTTTACTTTTACTTTTAGCACAATCTCAATGCACCTAAGGAAAACGTTTGGTACGTATCTCTCTGGTGTTACTTTTGGCGTAAATAGCTTGTTGTAAACGTGCTTATACCGACAATACTATAACGTTTCAGTTTTACTCAAACTTTGATAAAAGTAATTATTATTTATTTTTTATGTTTAAAACAATTGAATCTTTTAAAAGCTAAAATTTAACTCTCCTTTTTTTTCCAGCATTATTAAGCGTATTGTTATGGTGCATAATTTTTGTCTTTCTCAACTTATGTTTTCACTCAAACAAACTTTTTAATTTTTAATTTTTAATTTTATTTATTTCTTTTTTATTTCAATTGAATTAACCAAATTATATGGATTGTGCTTATGATCAACGATTTTCTTTCATCTTTATGGATGACGTATTGTAAGTTACACCCACAAAACACCAGTACAAGGTGGGTCTTTACTAAAGCTAAAGCTTAAATATGTTTCCTATTCTTTCTCTTGTTGTTTACCATAAGATGGTCAATGTTACCTTCATACTTGGAGAGTTTTTACTTTTCTTTTTTTTAATATGTTGTAAGATTTTCAATAATTGAAGCCTAAAAGTAATTAAAATATATGTATTATGTGACCTTTTGTGTTTTACCCACTCAAATTATCATTGAAAAGTTATTGATTATACAAAATAATATAACATGCAACTTAAAAGTGGAGTATGTATACCCTTTAAATACATCAATCCCTTCCCCCAACATTTTCAAATCTTCAATTAGTGGGCTTAAATAAAAATCAATGTCATTTTCTTATTGTCGTAGACCAAAAACCATTAAAGATAACATCACATATTTACGTTTCATGGACAACTATGGAGGTAAGTTGTAGATCACTAGCATGACAAACCATGTACTATGTTTATTACTCAAGTCACCATATGAGTTCATGTTATTGACTATAATCAGCTCGATACCTTAAATGACCATACTTTTTAAGTTCATTTGCATGTTATCTAATAAGTTTTTTATCTTTTACATTAACAAATAATCTTTTAAACCTCATAATTATAGGAAGATATCATAACACCTTTGGTAGAACACCCTTCCTAACATCATATTCAAAGTCACCATCTTTTTTCTTGTATCTTGATAATCCACAATGTGGACATTAATGTAACTTTTCAAATTCCTTCATATACAACACATAATCTTTCATACATGCATGAATCTTTTTGCCTCCATACCCATCGAGCACAATTTCTTCTTTGCATCATAATTATATTTTACCATCATAATTAGACTCTTCTAATCAATATGTGGAATGATTTGTGTCATGTTTTTTACTATCTAGTGATTGTATGAACAACTTATCTAATCTCTATTATTGAACTTGTCTAATCACTTTTGACAAACTTTTTAATATTTTTTGTTATACTCATCTAATTAATGTATAGGCAAACTCATCTATTATGTATTGTTAAACTCATCTAATGATTTTATTTATATTCGTCTAATTAATGTATGGACATACTCGTCAAGTATATATTGCTAAACTCATCTAATAATTTTTATTATGTTTGTTTAGTGTGTTGCTAGGCTTGTATAATTAATGTACGTATTTTTGAACTCATCTAATAACAATATAAATACATTAGTGATATATTTAAAACAATTAATTTGTTAATTTTACCTTTCATTTTGGTCTTACTAAAGTCTTAAGTCTACATTTTCAACTTAAAAAATAATAAAAAGTAAATACAAAGAATATAAAACAAAATATATATAATATCAAAAGGTGTAATTTTTTTATTATAAATATATAACTTAAACCATTGAAATGAACGGTTAACTACAATGTTTTAGTTTACTCATTTACAAATATAATTATTTAAAACCTTATTATCAATTTTTATGTACATATGATTAATACTAATCTTTTTATTAAATAATTTCATTTTAACTTTTACATACAAAAATTATGAAAAATATTAAAAAAAATATTTGTATTATAATTTAATATAAAAAAATAAATGTAATTTTTTGTTGAAAATTTTTTTAAGACAAAATTATCACATGAGAATTTTTGTGTAACACTCTAAATTTTTATTATTATCAATATATATATATATATATATATATATATATATATATATATAATATAATAAATAATAAGTTTAAATACTTACTTGATCTCCATATCAAGAAATAAATTTTTGTTTGATCTCACTATTAAGAAGTTAATTTTTGTTTAATAATCAGTTTTTCTTATGAAAGTTAACCGGGTAGAAATAACGTTAATTTGACACTTAACTGGTTGCAATTTTTTTCTCACCTTTTTCTCTTTCTTCTGTTTCTCTCACCATCGAGTAAAAGCAGAAAGTGATGCGCTGAAGAAGAAGAAGAAGAGCGATGCGCTCACGGTGCAGTTCCGTCAGATCCTGAAGAAGATTGTCACCGCGAAGGAGTCCATGGGCGACATCACGAAAACCTCGTCGTTCGCGCTCACCGAGGCCAAGTACGTCGCCGGCGACAATATCAAACACGTGGTCCTCGAGAATGTCCGGGAAGCCTCCCTCCGCGTCCGCTTGCGCCAGGAAAATGTCGCCGGTGTCAAGCTCCCCAAGTTCGAGTACACCTCCGACGCTGACGCCAACAAGAACGACCTCACCGGACTGGCGCGGGGCGGCCAGCAGGTGCAGCACTGTCGTGCCGCCTACATCAAGGCCATCGAGGTTCTCGTCGAGCTCGCCTCGCTTCAGACCTCGTTCCTCACTCTCGATGAGGTTATCAAGACCACGAATCGTAGGGTTAACGCTCAGGAGAATGTGGTGAAGCCGCGGTTGGAGAATACGATTAGTTACATCAAGGGGGAGTTGATGAGCTTCGAGAGGGAAGATTTCTTCGGGCTGAAGAAGATTCAGGGGTATAAGAAGAGGGAGATTGAGAAGCAGATGTTGTTGAAGAAGGTTGAGTCTAATTTACCTCTGCACAAAGCGGTTTCTTACAATTCCTCTCATTTGTTGGCTGTGGGTGACAAAGATGAGGATATTATCTTCTAAATGTAGTTCTATCCGCTGCTGCTTCTGCTGGGTGAGAAGGTCTTTAGTATATGTTTATTTATTTCTTTCTTCATTAATTCGAGACGTCATCGTTTTAAAGTATGGTTCTTATCATCATTCGATCTTATGGAAGCTTTTGAACTTGCTGTGAGTAGCTATAATTTCGTTTCGAAATATATTACACCACGCAGATGCTGGTGACATAATCAACATCAAGCTTGGAGATATTATTCTAGCATATGCTCGGCTTCTTGAATGTGATCCTTTGGAATTGATCATCGTTGTTTTTTTATTTATTTTTTCATAGATCGTATGTTATGTATTTGTTATTTGAATTCTCCACATGCGTAATTGGTCTTATCCTCTTTTTTCCTTGTGCTTTTCAGCAGTCGCACTTGACAGGTGAATCACTTCCAGGGACAAAGGGTCCTCGTGATGTAGTATACTCTGGTTCACAATGCACACAGGGAGAGATTTGAAGCTTGTGTTTTGCTACTGTTGTTAGAGCTTTTGTAACGGTGAGAAAAATTAGAAAAAAAAAAAAAAGAAAGAAAGGTGCACGAAGATGAGATGAGAGAGAAACAGAGGTTAACTATTTAAGCCGGATTAACGCTCTTACTCCTAAGTTCCATTTTTACAACTCATTATTAAAGCAAATTACATTAAATAATATCTTTTAAGAAATAAAAGTCAAACTTATTTTTTATAATTTTATTTTATTAAATGAAATACTTAGTTATAAAATGATTAAAAGTTAGAATTGAAAATGAAAAATATAATATAAAATGGAGATGTAATAACTTAATATAAGTTATTTTTCTTTAATATTTTTATTATCCTAATGTAGTTTATAGTATCGTCTATTTATAGGTTCAATATTTTTTTAGTCCCTAACTATTGGCACGTTCTGGTTTTCGTCCCTCTTCCAAGTAAGGGTAGATTTGTCAATCATTCTTTTAGAAAACGTCTTTGTCCTCAATAATTTTTGTTTTTAATCCTCGTTTCAGTCCGTGTCGTTTTTTCGACTAAAAGAACGTTTTTTTTTTTTTAAAGATTGAGGACCAAATCGTACCTTAGTTTGGAAGAGGGGAAAACCTAGAAACGGTCAATATTTAGGGACTAAAAACATATTTAACCCTAATTAATATAGTTATATGTATAATATATATTCACAGAGTCATTTAATAATAATATAAATATATTAAAAGTATATTTTAAAATAATTAATATGAAAGGATAAAATAAACATAAAAAATAATATAAAAAAGAATTAAATTGATTAAGAAAAGAATCCAATATTATATTAAAAAGAAAACTTGTAACGGTGATTAAAATGTATTTAGAACGGCATAGTAAAAGAAATAATTATTTATTTATTCTAAAAGTCAACTTTTTTTCTAAAATAATTTATTTTAGCGATGTGTATCATAGATTAAATTAATTAATAAAAAAATTTCAAATTTTAAACATAATTGACGTTTTAAAGAATGATACGAAGGTTTTAAATTTTAGAAACTAATGGTGCTAATTAATAACTAGAATAATAATTTATTAAATATTAAATAATATAGTTAAATATATTTTTACTTTTTAAACTTAAAATAAATAAAATGGATAAAAAGAAGTAAAACAAATCTTACATAGACAATTTTTTATATGAATGTGTAAACAATTTTTATTATTAATTTTTTTAAATAATATTATTTTAAGAGAAAAAAGTAAAATATATTTTTTAATTTATTAAATCATCAAGTAATTAGAAATTATAACAAAATAAAATGAAATATGTAGTATAAAAAAATAATATTTTAAATATCAGTTATTTTTAAAATAACTTATTAAATAAAAAATAATTAAAAATTATAAAAGGATAAAATATGTGTATAAAAACACCTATTGAAAGACCTCTATTGAAAAAAGTAATTATTTATTTATTTTAAAAATAGACTAATTTTTAAAATAATTTGTAAAATGCATATCCTGAATTAAATTGGTTAAGAATAAAATTTTAAAATTAAGTTATAATTGACATTTTATATATTAGTATGTAGAATTTAAATATAAAAAACTAATAATGTTATTTAAAAATTAAAATAGTATTTTATTAGATTTTAAATAGAGAATTAATATACTTTTATTTTTACGGTAAATAAGTTTAATAACACATGAATATAATAGTGAAATAATTATTTAGAGAAATAATTTTTACATGCAGGATAAACGATTTATATTTAATACAATATATATTCTATATTTGAAATAAATTTATTTTAATAAATAAAAATAAAATATATTTTTCTAAATTTTATTTTATTAAATGATCAAATAATTTGAAATTATAAAAAAAATTAAAAAATTAATACAGAACAATAACGAATACTTTAAATATGAGTTATTCTTTGATAATATATTAAATGACTAAGTATTTAAAAATTATAAAAAATAAAATTTAAAATGAAAAAATAATATAAAAATATATTTATATTTTTCAGACAAATTAGTTTAAATATAACAAATAGATAAAAATGTAAAATAGTTTCTATAGATATGTAGTAGTTAAATAAATATAAAGAAAAATTAAATTAATAATGCATTAAGAGGCATATAAATTTAAAAACATATAAAGAGTTATAATATATATATACTCTTTTTATATAAATCTAAATAAAAACTTATAAATTTACAAAAGCAAATTTAAATGGTTATTCAATTATTAATTTTTTTAACTAAAAATTTTACTTCTGTCATCTAATTCCAAAAGAAAATGTACACAAAAATCACTAACTATGAAAATAAAGATATTATTATTAAAATTGGAATTACATATTAAAAATAAAATTTTAGAGGTTTATATAATAAAATTACATATTTCTTAATACGGATATATACGTAGGTTAGTAAGTTGGTTTTTGGTATAAGAGTGGATACCATTAACTTTTCCCTTTTTTTCTTTTTTTTTTTTTTTCTCTCAGGGTTGTTTTCCCAGGCTTATCAATGCATATCAATAGTATGACTCTCTGGTTGAGTCCTTGTTAACTTGGCCTTTTATATGTTGTTGATTTTAGTAGGGAAAAGAAAAATCTTGTTATATATTCATTATTTCGTAGACTGTAGTAATTTTTTTTTTTTTGGTATTTTTTTTTGTATCACAATTTATTTCTGTAAGATAGTAAAAGGAACAGATTTAAAGATAGATAAAATTTGATACCAATAACTAAAATTTGTTAATAAACTAAAGTTATTAATATATGTTTAATGATTAAAAAACTATTAATAAAAAGTTCATCAATATTGATAGAATCGATAATTATTTATTAAAAAATATTTATTAATAATTACCGATAAATTTTAATTATTAATAAATATTGTAATTTAATATTCTTTTTTTTTCATTTCCTTTGTTCTCTTCATTTACCTTTTTATTCATTCTTCTCGGTCACATCTAGATGAAAATTTTACGTGCGGACATGGTTATCCGCGGATAAAATCCGAGGCGAGTAATTACTATTTGCGGATTTGCGGTAATTTTCAGCCGCGGTAACGGGAGTCGGGAGTGACTAGGTTTGCGGAAACGGGTCGGGACGGGAGAGTATCTACCCGCCCTGTATCCAGTAGCCGCAAAAATAAAATGGATACAGGGGGAATAATAATAGTTGAAAATACAGAGTAAATTGATAATTGTATTAGGGGATTAAAAAATAGGAAGGTTATATTTAATTTAACTGTAACGTATTAATCTATTATATTTTTTTGTAATTTTATTTAATTTATTTTAAATTTGTAAGTTAATATATATTTTTTTATTTTTTTTTATTTTGGCTGTATTCGTGGGTGTCATGGGTTTTAAAACCCACGTATTTTTTTAAAAGCGGGTACCTATACGAATAATAGGTCGGATAACGTTTACAGTTTTATCCAACAAGTCGGATACGAGTAAGAACTACCCTGTCCGACCTGCCTGCGTTGCCACCCTAGTTCACATCATTACCAACTCCATCCCTACCATTACTTTTATAAATATAATTATTATTACTGTTATTATTGTTATCATTTCATTTTCTTTTTCTTTATGTTTTTTTATAATTAATTTACATTAGATATTTCTTCATATATAATAGGAAAATTGACATCATTTTATAATAAATATACAAACAAAGTAATGGGCAAATTTAAAAAAATTAAATTAGCAAAAAATTATTGTCAAATTTAAAATATATACAAAATAATATATTTATAAACAATTTTTTAACGACATCCATTTCATCGAAAAAATTATCCATTTATAATAAATATTATAAATTATGGACAAATATTATTGATGAATTTATTATTAATAATTTTTTTGTTGATAATAAAAATCTTAATTTAAAACAAATATTACTAACAAATATTTTAATTAATAATTAAAATATAAAAATTAATCACTAAAATCCTTCAATAATATACAATTTATTTAGTAATTTAGCTATTTATAAAAAAAATATCAACACTTTATTCTATTTAACTAGTATTTATTAGGTTTAAACCCTATGTTAGTCCTATTTTGTATGAAAATCTCAGTTTGGTCCTCATTTTTTCATCTCTCTCAGTTGGGTCATATTTTTGTAAAAATGAACACATTTTATTCTAACCGTTAACTGGTCTCAAACGACGTTAAATTAAGGTCACGTAGTGCAGAGAGAATGTGTTGATGTGTGTTCCTCATTTACGTGTAGAGAGAATGCGTTGAAATCCCTAAAATGAATATCCTTAAAGTCACATCACCATATTTTTTTTCCAATCTTTTATATTAAAATAATATTTTAATTTAATTAATAATATATTAATAATCCAATTTAATTAATAATCCTATTTAATCATATTCACTCGGCATTATTTTGAACTAAATTATTATAAATTTACTTTTTTAACTTTAAAATTTTTATAAAATTATGTGTATTTTAATTGAATATTAATATATAAAATTGTTTATATTATATCAAATTATTATATAAAACTAAT